CTCTCATGCTGATGTTCAGGTCTATATAAGTATGCAGTGTCTCTACTTTAAAGAGTCCTCTCCTGCTGATGTTCAGGTGTATATCAGTATGTAGTGTCTCTACTTTAAAGAGTCCTCTCCTGCTGATGTTCAGGTGTATATCAGTATGTAGTGTCTCTACTTTAAAGAGTCCTCTCCTGCTGATGATCAGGTGTATATCACTATGTAGTGTCTCTACTTTAAAGAGTCCTCTCCTGCTGATGTTCAGGTGTATATCAGTATGTAGTGTCTCTACTTTAAAGAGTCCTCTCCTGCTGATATTCAGGTGTATATCAGTATGTAGTGTCTCTACTTTAAAGAGTCCTCACCTGCTGATCCTTCACGTCACCACCGCTAAGCTAAAGGAGGCTAATGTTGGTTCGTGATGACGTTTAGTCGTCTCATTTAGACACTTGTTAGCAACCATCGTGTTTTTAAATTCCCCAGTGGGGTAGTTACTGATATATTTAATGTCGTAGAGTAAAAAATATGTTCAGCTTGTTTTAACCACAGACCTTTTATTATTTTGTCCCGTCGGCCTCCAGAGAACATGTCCTCCACTGCGGGAATAAAAAAAGTCTAAACAGACGTCCGACATGTCGTCAGCTGCAGCTCTGAAGGTTAGCGTTTGATTTTGCACGGGACAAGGTGAACGGCACATTCAGAGAAAAGGGACGCTAATGCCCTCCACACACACACACACACACACACACACACACACACACACACACACACACACACACACACACACACACACACACACACACACACACACACACACACACACACCACACACACACACACACACACACACACACACACACACACACACACACACACAGCACACACACACACACACACACACACACACACACACACACACACACACACACACACACCACACACACACACACAACACACACACACACACACACACACACACACACACACACACACCAACACACACACTTCATCCAGATTTGACAAGGTTAGTTAATCATCTGTCACGTTGCCGGACAGACTCTCCTCTCCTCTGTCCGTCCTCCATCTTTTCCTCCCTTTCGTCTCTCCATCTCCTCCTCCCTTTCTTCGTCTCTCTTCCCAAGGGTAACTGCTTCCCTCCCTGATATCTGATATTAACCTTGTGTTTCTCACCACATGCTTTCATCTGTTTGTCTCTCTCTCTGTCTGCCTGTCTCAGTTGCAGAATCAGAATTAATGTATTAGTCCCACGTTCAAGCAAGAGTGACAATGCAGGTAAAAAGGCTACCAACACTAAGAGAAAAGCACACATCAGTAATACAAATAAAGCGATATGAGTACATGGATAACAAGTGAGTAAATGAATACATTTAGTTTTAAATCGAGGCTGAAATCCTTGCTCTTTAACATTGCACTTCTTGCACCATCTGTTTCCATTTGTAATTTATTTATATATCCTATTCCATTCACTTGTATATAGACTCTTCTCTCACTATTTCTACTTTATTTGTATTTACTTGCACATCTCAAAACATTCTCTTTCACTATTTTATTTGTTTTATGTATAGAGAGGTGAAGTCCCGCCCTTCTACTTCCGCCCCATGGGACCTTATTTCGGAAAAAGTATGTATTGAAGTCAATGGGGAGAGAAAGATTAATATGAATTGTGCCACGAATTACACACATGATGTTTGTCAATCTTAAAAAATAATTTCCATGTCAAAAAAGTCACAGTTTGTCGTAAAACTGTTGAAATATAAGACTATGAACAATACGCAACTAGAAAGACTACAAATCCCAGAGTCCCGGTCCCGCATGCTGGCTCTTACGAACCGACTAACTCCCCTTGTGTGTATGTGCAGCTCTCAACACGCCCAGACTTGGAGTGATTTTCACCTCTTTTAATACTTTCCGCCTCATTCTGAAAGAAAGAAGTGAAATGTGCCAACGTGACGGCCGTCTTGGTGTGTGGTGCGAGACGGGAGATGGAGTTCATTGAGCGGTTTCACACCAAAAAAAGTGTTACTTCACAGTTTTACGACACATTTAAAAATGTTTGACTTGCAAAATTATCTTTTAAATTGACAAACATCATATGTGTAATTCGTGGCACAATTCAAACGGGATCGAAAGATAATCTTTCTCTCCCCATCGACTTCAATACATAATTCTTCCGAAATGAGGTCCCATGGAGCTCCCCCGGAAGGGGAGGGACTTCGCCTCTCTATATGACAATAAAGCCTTGAAACTCTTGTGATTGGTCAACTGCTTAGAGATAAGTCCCGCCCCTTGGAGCGATAGCCAATAGAAGTTTGAGTGTTATAAGTGGATATTGACCTTCAACATGTAGATGTATACAACACATACTTTCTGTTGCCTGTACGAATTCAATAATTGATAAAAATATGTCATGGAAAATGTCAGAAAATGCAGTTTTCAGCCTAAAATTTCAAATTTCTTTAACCCTCTTAAGCCCTGAGCCTGTTTTTCAGGTCTCAGGCTCGAAAATGACATTCCCAGAACAAATGACCATATCTTCCCTTCTAAAGGGGTTAAATTAATAATCTTTATTCTCAAAGTAATGATAAACCTGTGAGTTGGATGTAGAAAAGTCAGAATCAATATAGATGTGTTTTATTTTAAAGAAAATTCAGATTTTACATAGTAAAAAACTGTAAATTATAGTGTCCGTCCAAAAATGTTTACTTATAGTG